TTCCCAATTGCCTTCTGTTTTCTCATCTATAATAACATCTGAATGCTTATCGTGTCCCAGGCCCTACATCACCCTTTACATGTGTTACCTACTATGTTTAACACTCACAAAAGCTATAGAAGTAAGTTACTAGAATTATCCTCGTTTTACCAATGAGAAAATGAAAGCTCAGAGAGGGTAGACACCTTGCCCAGGGTCACACAGCCATCACTTGGCAGAACTGTTGATGAACAGCAGAACCAAACAAACAAAAAAGCTGGAAGGGACCTATGGGATTCTGGAGCCTGAGCTCTCAGCCACCATATCCTGCCAGTTGAGGGAGGGTGTCACTCGAGAGCCCCCAGCTCTTTTTATTCCACATCCTGTTGCCATTCTGGTGACCCAAATACCCTCCTCGGAGGAAAATATTTTACCCATAGATTCGCAGGCTTCAGACTGAGTTTACTCAAAAGTCCTGCTCCCACCTCTGGGTTCCTCCGGACTCTATTCTCCTCCACCTGATCCGTTTCCATGGAAACTGCTGGGCTCTTGCATCCCTTTTATCCTCCTTTCTGGGAGGCAAGACCAGCTTTCCGGCACCCAGGTAGCCAGGCCTGACCATTATAAAGACCAAAGAAGCAATATCTGGAAGAAATATTTCCAGGCAGAGGGAGGAACCGGATCAAGCTTGTGGTTTTCTCTTTGATGGTCTCCAAACTAACACCAGGTGCTCTGAGGAGCTCAGCCAATTACCTGGGCCCAGTGGGTGCTGGCTGCGAAGCTGTCATCTGTTCCCCAGCATCTCACCACCTCTCAGTCAGCAGGCCTCGCTCCCTTCGGAAGGTGATTCCGGGGTCTGAGCAGAGGGCAAGTCGGGCAAGTCCTCCAGCCAATCCCTGGCGTCAGCTTGCAGTATTCAGGGTGCAGCTGGTGGGCTGGGGGTGCAAAAGGGAGAATGTTACCAGATTTTCCCCTGCTGGAGAAGGGAGGAGCCAGCCATCACCTTGAACCCTGGAAACAGTGCACACGGCATCACTCCTTGCTGCAGGGAGGCACCCTGTGGTCAGGATCAAGGAAGCACATTGCACACACTACCCAGGGGCTTGACATCTGGTCTCCAAAGAATCCATATACCCTGGAAACAGGAAACTGAAGGAGCCAGAGCTTTTCAGGATCCCACCCCCACTGGATCTTGGTTGGGTGTTAATCTCTCTGAGCTTTGGTTTCCTTATCTGTAAAATGGGCCTAATTCTAGCGCTGCACATCTGCAAGGCTAGTTGCAAGGTCCAAACAAGACACACCAAAGCCCTCTATAAAAGTACCTAAAGTAGTAAAACCTCAGACATCTAAAATGAATTACAAGACTCTCAATTCATTGAGATATAAGCATCATCATTTCTTTCAAGTACGCTCCTCGAATCTCTCTCCCCATCCCTTAGCAATTTCCTGTTGTGAGTTCATGGTTTTCTGCTCAAGTTCAGTTACATAAATTTGGTCCAGTTAGCCTAAGACTCCAGTCTTTTCTCTGAGTCAAAGCTTCCCATCTGCCCCACTGCAGACTGGATGAGGGTCTTGGCCCCACCTGGGCTAAGCATACCATGGTGAGGAGGGGTGTTCTGGGACATCTCCTTCCCCAGAGAAGCAGGGGAGGAGCTCTTCTCACCTCTCTGGTCCCCGTGCACTGGAGCAGCTACTGCTGCTGGTGTCTGGGGAGTCAGAGGGTCCAGCACAGCGGAATGCAGCTTTTCCTATTAAGGACTGACCGGCAAGTATATGCCTTCTGCTCCTTCCTTAAACTTTGTGCACCTTTCTCAGGAGGCACAGCAACCTCTAAAAGCTACTCAAAACAGGAATGGGATGCAATCCTTCTAGGCACAGGACAAGACAGTGCAGGGCTTCAGACAACCCTGAGTCAGAAATGGCACCACTTCTGTCTTCACATGGGGCCCAGGCTCCAGAATTCTGCTCCAGGACCATCTGGCCTTGCCAGGGTCCTCTTACATGCAGATGTCCCCCCATGACCTGCAGAGGTCTTCTGAAGACCCCCCAAAAAATACCTGGCTTTAGAGGAGCCACAAATGCTGCACTCCTCAAAGGCTAAATCTCCCCCCATAGGCTCCCCACCCCATAGCCTTCTCTTCGAATAGCCTGTGGCCTTGGGTGGAAGTAAAGGACAGGCTTAATGAGTCAGAAGACAGGAAATGCCTGGATTCTGTGGGGTAACTTTACAAGTGAGGTACTTAGTCCCTTTTCAGAACAACAAGAAAAATTCCTCCTGATACCTGTGTGAATATAATAACTACCTTTTAATTAAGCACCACCAGGATTCTTGCTAACTAATGTCTTGACTACATTATTTTGGTCTTTACACTGACTTTGAGTGACTAGTATCACCTTTATTACCTCTATTTTCCTAAGGTTCAAAGAAGTCAAATGGCCTGCTCAAGGCCCTCAAAGTAGGTTTTGAACCTGCAGCTTTCTGACCCGGAGCAGAGCTTATAAGTCCTATACATGACCTATACTGCTCCTGCAGTACTTGGCTGGGGACAAAAGACAAAGGGACTTGCTTGGGTTTTGCAGCCCTCTCTGTCTGCGATGGGCCCAGGAACAGACCTCTCAGAAAGACTCCAACCGTGCATCTAAAATGAATGATGCAAGCTGTCCCAATGCAGAGCTGGAGGTCACCGTGGCCACACTAAGGAGACACCCAGGACCTCCTCCAGTCAAGCCAACATCTCCCCCTCACACCCAACCCCCATCTCAGCCGCTCTGGAAAGTACAAAGCTGGAGCTCCACTCTCTCTTCCGCATCAGGAAAACCAAAGCAACAAGGAGGTGCTGGCTTTGGTCTTTAGAGAACCAGGGATGGGCTCTCTGACCCCACACGTCTGGGAAAGGGGAGGCGCCCAAGTGACAGTAACAGAGCTGGAAGGAGCTGAGCCTGGACCCTATGGGGCTGTGCAGCACTGTGGTGAAGAGCTGCTGTTTAGCCTTCCCCCTTGGCCTCCCTCTGGGAGCCGTTCAGGAGCCGTTCACCACCCCAGGACAGGGCTGCTGGCCAAGGAATATCTTGCCAAGCTAATCACAGCTGATTCTGGCTCCATGAAGGGCAGTGGGAACACCAAGTCATTTGAATCTCAGAACAATTCTAAGAACTAAATACTCACATTCCCATTTTGTAGAAGAGAAAATTTGAGAACCAGATAGGTTATGCAGCTTATTCTAGGGTTCAAAACCTGGGCACCCAGATTCTAGAGTGTCTGCTCTTAACCACTTAGCTATCCTGCCTCCCAGAGCCAGTACAAAAGAGACCCAGGGGCTTTGGTGAATTTCTCAGCTCTGTACTCTCCTGTGGCACAAAGGCAAGGGGAATGCGTACAGTCCTCAAAAGCTGGCTTTTTAGGATTCCTCTCTCCCAGTCCGTTCTTGCCAGAACTCTGAACAGATTTGCTCTGAGCAAAATCAAGTGGTTTGGGAACCTTCACTCTGTATTTCTCCTTTAGCCTCGCTCTAGGCTTGTCCCTCCCTCCAAGGGACAAGCTTCCCCCTCTGTCTCCTCCTGGCTTCTCTGCCTCAGCGACCTCCTTTTGATTCTCACTTACTTACCTCCTTCCCTTTCCTTCTCCCTTTGGAAGGCAGTTCAGCTCACACTCATTAGCACGTGTTAATGAGCATCAATCCGTTTCTCAGTCGCTCAGCAGGAGAGGGGAGAAACAGGGACTAGCAGCTGCTCCAGGGGTAATGGGTGCACAGGCCTGGAGGCTCCGGGACCCAGGCTACTGGAGAGAGTGGGGAAGGAGCCCAGGGCCCAGCTTGGGAAGTCCTGTCTTCTGTCCTCAGGACTCTGCCCTCAGCAGCTGCTTCGGTTTTCTCTGAGACCAGCACAGAACATTCCTAGGTCAGCATTGGATATTCTCTGCTCACTGGCCTCGGCAAATTCCCATGATGTCCTTAGGTGGGTGTTGTTAAGACCCGGTTCCAGGAGGTAGTTCTGCCACTCCTTTAACAATTGCCTAATGGAGCGCCTGGATGGCTCAGTCACTTAAAGCGTCCGACTTCAGCTCAGGTCATGATCTCACGGTTTGTGGGTTGGAGCCCCGAGTCGGGCTCTGTGCTGACAGCTCAGAGCTTAGAGCCTGTTTCAGATTCTGTGCCTCCCTCTCTCTCTAACCCTCCCCTGCTCACGCGCGCGCGCTCTCTCTCTCTCAAAAATAAATAAAACATTTAAAAAAAAATTTTTTTTAAGCCCCTGGAGCCTGTCCAGGGTGAAGCAGGTAACCAGGGCACGCGGGGGATGGGGGAGGGGGAGGGCAGCAAACAAGACCTCAGGGGACAGTGGAAGCCCCTCCTCCACTTCATCTGGATCTTCCCTGGGTGTCCCTGACCCCTCCCCCCTTACCTCCAAAGCCTTGAGAATTCGCTTCTCCCCAAGTATGGGCCCCATTTAGGGATCATGAGAGTAGGTGAAAGAGCTGGGTTCAAATTCTAGCTCGGCTCCCTCTTTGCTGAACAAGTCATGTAATCATTTGAAGTCTCAAGTCCCCTCATCAAAAAAGTGGTCCCTGTTGTTCCTGCTGTGGAAGGGTCAGACCAGGACAGGCATGATCGACACACAGTGAACCGCAAAGTGCAAACCCTGTTTGTCAAGCTTACGTTATTATTACTACTAGTGGTGTTGCTGTTACTACCGTTATCACTATTGCTACTGCTAGTAACAATACCTGGTAGCTGTACTCAAGGAGGTCAGAGAGAGACAAGAGCAGCGTCTCCCCGCTCCGGGCGCCAAATGGCCCCTGCTTCCCTGGCCTGGCGGCGTGCGGTTTCAGCGCCCGCGTGCGCGCCCCCGGCGCTCCCGCCTCCGCGCGCCCACTGGCCGAGCCCCTGCGCCGCCGCCGCCCGGCCGAGACCCAGGCTGATTCTCTGAGCGCGCGCGCCCCCTGCTGGCGGCCAGGCGCGGGCGCAGCCTCCGGACTGTATATAAAGGCAGCGTGGCGCGCAGGACCTGGCCGAGTGAGGGAGCGGAGCCGGGCGCAGGGACAGCGCTGTGCGCCTGAGGTCTCCGAGCGGCTCGCCATGGCTAGCCCGCAGCAGCAGCCCCCTTACCTGCACCTGGCCGAGCTGACGGCGTCCCAGTTCCTGGAAATCTGGAAGCACTTTGACGCAGACGGTCAGTAGATCTCTCAACTTCTGTGCCCATTCGCCCCCAGGGAGTCTCCGGTGGAGGGGAAGGGGACTTCGCTGCTGCGAGCAGGTGTACGGATGTCCCAGGGGGTGTTTGGGCCGCAAAACCTGCTGAGGTCAGGGTCTGGAGTTTGGGAAACACCTGGCTGCCCTGGTGACAACTGTCAGCAACTTTTCTTCCCTGACACAGACGGCAGAGAGCCCACTAGCTTTTGCAGCCTCATTCTGGGCAAGTTGGAGCTTTCCCAGAGAGGAGGCCTGGGCCAGCAAGGCTCCCCTTGATTCCCCCTGCCATCTTATCTTCCCCTCCTTTCTCTTCAAGGTAATGGTCTGCCTTTAGCGGCTGCAGCCACAGGTCTCAAAAGCCCACTTCTTTCTTTCTTGAGGTTCCCCTTTTGTTTAATACCAGGTTAGCCCCCGTCACTGTCCTGGAAGCTGGGGTGAGCTGGGGGATACTGAAGGGAAACCCCTGGCCTCCCCAGACTGATTGGGAGCGGGAGTGGAAAGTGACATCGGGGCCCGGAACATCCCGTGGGCTTCGGCCGGGGGGCAGATCAGTCCCATACGCAGCAGCAATGGGTGTGGTGGGGGCAGGGTTGAGGTACAAATACAAACCTGACATATTCCCTCATGGTGATAATCCTGGGTACTTTGGGTGGCACCATCTCTGGGTGGGGGGAGGCACATTCTTAAATGCAAACGAGACATCGATATACCCAGAAATCAAGGGCTGGACTGAATGACCTTTGGAGGTGGCTCCCAGTGCTGGCATTCCAAGAGTCTATGAATGATCTGACTCAGGCATAAAGTGAGCCCCACCCCACCCACCCCCCACTTCGGGAGCTTTTGATATCACTAGAGATGATTTCTCCACCACTCCAAAAAAAATTAAGTGATCTGATTCCCTCCTCTGAGTCCAAAAAAAATTAAGTGATCTGATTCCCTCCTCTGAGGTCCTGGCTGGGGTGGGCATCCAAAACGTTCTGGCATCTCAGACCACTGGCAGGGTGGTGGCTCAAGGTGTTTATCCTGGGATTGACAGCGAGGGGGATGGGAACCAGAGGGAGGATCAGTCCGTGGTTCACTTAATTCTTCCCTCCTCCTTTCCTCACCTCCTCAGGGCATGAAAATGGCAAAACAGAGGTCCTCTGCCCAGAGTGCTTGAAGAGGCAAGGGTTAATATCCAGGGACTCTCATTAATAAAGTTCTGTTCCCTTGGAGCAAACTGAGAAAGCTGGGTAGGGAGCCAAGCAGAGGACTGGGTGAGCAATACCCAGGTTAGGACAGTGATCTGCCTGTGAATTCCTGAAGGAGGTGGGCAGACTGTTAAATCTGTAAAATGGGGCTAAGGAGGGGTGTACTTCCAATCCCCAGGGTGTGCCAGAAAACTCCTTTGGTGAAAAGGGGCTGTAAGGTGCAGCCTCTTAGCATTCCAGATGACGTGCACCTTTCCCAAGGATGTTTCTGCCAGTTAATCTGCACCAGAGACTTTCTTGATTCAAGGAAAGTTACCAAGTGGCCAAGGTTACACCACCTGCCTCCTGCCAGATGAGTCAGCTATAATAAACAGAGAACTCCGTAGATCTACTCCCCCCACCCCCACCCGGCCTCAGGGGGATAACTAAAAACACTCTCAATAATCACGCGAATCCTTACATTTATCTGAGACCTTATACTGTTCAATATATAATCACACCTTCTTGAGTCCCACACTGTGAGGTGCTGGGCAGGTTGTGGTTCTCATTGTGCAGATGAGGAACCAGACACAAGGGGTGAGTCCTCTGAGGCTGGATAGCAAGGTAGTAATGGAGCTGGTTCCCGGCCAGTGTTTATTCCCTACTTTTTGGACATGTGTTTGGGATGGAAGAGGGATTTTTCCATGACGATAGGTACAAGTTGCCTATAGAAGAGCCTCCACCACCCCCAGGCTTGGAGGTGATTGGCAGTTCCTTTAGTCTCAGAAAGGGGTCCTTGTCTTGGCTGCAGCATAGCTAAGCTAGCACTGGACATGACAGTCTTTAGAGGCCTCCAAAGCCATTGTGCCTCTGGCTCCCTCCTGCTCCGATATGAAAAGGGGAGCTAAATGCTTGCTTCTCAGTTCCTTGTCTGCCAGGCACCCCGTTGCCCTCTCTGGCCACAGCCTCAGGAAAGTCCCAACGAGCCGCCACATACCTAACAGAAAAAGAAGACAAAACGGCTTAAAATGCCAGAGATGGTTCAGAGGTGCTTAAGGAAAATGAGGATACAGCCAAGTTGGCATTCCACTAAAGTACCCAGAATTAGGCTGTGGACTGCCTTGCTCCATACCTTCCTTATCCTACCCGTTCCGCATACCCAAAGGCCACTGGGGAGCCCCCCACCCTCCCCTGAGGTGCTCCCTGCTATATCTGGGCCCCCCTTACTAACTCTGGCTTCTATTTTCATCTTGGCGTTTCTTCCTGATACAGAGTCCCCCTGCCACTCACAGACTTAAAGAACTCTGGCAGGACTCTCTTTCGCAGCTCGCAGGTCCCTGGAGCCCAGTTAGGCATAGCCACCAGGGGGAGGGAGCCACCGCCCCACTCCTCCCGGACCCCCAAGAAACAAAGACAAGGAGACCCTAGGAGAAGCTGGATGCCAAAGAGAGTGGAGATGGGGTAAGGGGCTCTGACCCTAACTCAGCCCATTCCTAACCAGGAAGAAGAGTCATCCTGGTGACTTTGCTCTCAGAGTTAGATTCTTTTCAAAGTCATCGTTGGTCTCATGGTAGCGGAAAGTAGGAGTGGGTGTTTGAAGAGAGAGAAATTGGGACTCAGAGAGGCAAAGTTCTTTGTACAAGATCACACAGCAAAGTGTGTGTGTGGGGGGGGGGGGACCAGGAATCCTATACCATCCCTGGACCCTTCCTCCTCAGTCACCCAAGTTCATGCATTTAGGGGTGGGATTTAGATGTCATCTCTCAAAGGCAGACATAGGGAAGACAGTGGCCAAGCACATCATATGGCTCACATGCCACCTCCATGCTCTGAGTGACCCTTCCATGGCCCTATATATCTGAGTCCACTGCCCTGTTGTGACCTGGTCACTTCTTTGTCAGGAACATCCTCACAGCTCAGAGCTCACCCTGGCCCATGTGGTTCTGATCAGATGGGCCACCAGGCTCCTGTTCTGCTGACAGCCAGTGGGAATGTCCATGGAGAGTCAAGGTTTGGCCTTAAAGGGAAACACCTTAGCCTTTAGAAGCAACTGAGATCATAGGGATTAGATGGGTTCTCTCCCAGAGGCCAGCAGACATTCCAGATCCAAGTAGGGACCCTGGCCACTGTTTATTCCCACTCGCCCCAGAAATCAATCTGACATAGATATACTCATACACATGCAAAAAGTTATATGAGAAAGAGTATCTTACCAAGTTCTTTGGAATACTGAAAATTTGAGGGGGAATGTGCTTTATTAGGGAGGAGAAAAACAAATTGTGTCAGTCTCTAGAGCAGAATATTATACAACTAAGCAGAGTGAGGTGGGGCTTTTGTACTGACGTGGGAAAACACCCAAGATGTACTATTAAGATGTTTTTAAATGAGAGCAGGGCTATTATAGTATGACCCCATTTTCCTTGTTCATGAGGCAAATATGCTGTAAGATACTTGACAGAATATAACAGAGAATAGAGAATGATGGTTCTCTCTTCTCAGAGTGACTGAGATCAAATTAAAAGGCAGTTGCTTTTACTAAGTTCATTTCTGTAGTGTTTGAAAATTGTATAAGAGCTCGTGCTTCTCCTGTTCAGATGTAAATAAAATGTTATTTATCTCCAGGTGTGGGAATCTGCCCAGACTCTTCTGGGCATTCGTCTGCCCCCAGATGGCCCTGGTGACATGGGGCGGTGTGGGGGGGGGGGTGTCTCTAAGCCTCTTGCAGGGAGGAAGCCGTGTTCCCTATTTGTGTGGGCCTGGAGACCCTTGAAAATTAGGAAGAGGAAGGCCCTGCCCTGTCTTCCCCACTCTGCCCTCCTACACCCTATGGCAGTAACAGAAACATCCCTAAAACCCACGCACCATGAACACTCAGGCTCTGCCAGAGTGTGGGTCACTGCTAAGTTTGTGACCCTGCAGGGAGCTAAGCCATAGGGCCTCTCCCAGGTGGAAAGAGAGGCCTGGGCAGCTTGCACTGAGATATTAAATGAAGGCTCTTGGTCCAGTGAAAAAAGATACTTTCTTTCCCAAACAAGGTTACAGAATATCCGGTATATATTATTTACACAAACACTACAACACTTGCAATACCATAGAACTGTGCTATTCGTAAGGTGACTATAGGACTCATAAAAACGATCACTGCTTGGCACAAAAAAGTCAGAGGGGTCTTGTGCAGGAGGCCGAGGCCAGAGTTGTCTGAGGGAGGCTTGCCCAGGGCAGCCACCAGCCCAGGGAGCCAGGGTCCCTGCCCGCTCGCCCTGTTTATTCCCCTCTAGACTCCTGTGGTTGCACTAGCTGAGCCCCTGATAAGCATATCTGTCAGGTCCGTGTGTCTCACCTGGGAGAGCAGGGCACGGACTTGGGGTTCGTGATGGCAAGATGTGGGGTTCTTTGGGAGTGGCCTCCTGTCCTATCCAGGGTAAGCCCTAGGAATCAGTCCCCTGCTCTGCTTCGCCCCTAAACCCCCTATGGAGTGTCCACAGCGTGCTGGGTGGCCCTGCGCTGGAGGCCTCTGTGTGTGCCCTGGCCCCTCAGCCTGCCTCAGGGGGTGACTGCACCAGCCAGGGAGACCCTGTGTCTGTGAGGAGCTGGGGCTCCCCAGGGAGGCAGCCTTGGGACACAGTTTCACAAACAAGACAGTTGAGCCCGCCTCACCGGGGCAGCCACCAGCCCAGGGAGCCTGGGTCCCTGCCCGCTCGCCCTATTTATTCCCCTCTAGGCTCCCGTGGTTGCACTAGCTGAGCCCCCGAGGGAGGTTTCCAGGGCTGAGAAGACCCCCCCCGGGAAATCCCTTCTCACACCTGGGGAG